GCCGTTACTCGGCCCGTCAACCTTTGGACGTCCTTTCTACTTTCAGGCTTTTCATCTCTAGAATGGCTCGAATTTTGTCTGGATTTGCTTCGATGCCTCTCTATGTTATCACAAAATCCAGAAACTTACCTCCTGCCGTTCCAAAAACACACTTATGTGGACTAAATTTTAGTTTATTCTGTGTGGCAATATCAAACACTTTCTGTAGGTCGCTAACATTGTCGTTCGCCCTCATGCTTTTGACGACCATGCCATCTACATACGCTTCAATGACGCTCCCAAGCAGTTCGCTGAAGACCTTATTCACCATTCTTTCGTAAGTAGTTCCAGTATCTTTCAAGCTAAATGGCATGGCTATATAACAGTATGTCCCAGCATTGGTTATGAAGGAGGTCTTCTCCTGGTCTGACTCTGCCATAGAGTCTGATGGTAACCAGAAAATGATCTAGAAAGCTCAGTCGTTCATGACCTGATGTGGCATCCACCAAGTGATCTATTCTGGGTAGAGGGTACGAGTCTTTTGGACATACCTTGTTTAGTCCGGTATAATCTACACACACGCGCCAATATCCAATAATTACAATCACCGAGTGGAGCATATACATACCATTAATATATGCTAGCAAGGGAGCATATCCACTTGAAAACACTGCATGTGCAATTTTATTTCTCCAACCGTATTTGTGTAACTCCGTCCCCCAAAGGACCACATGATTCACCACATCATTGGAGGTTGATACCTGAATTATAGAAAAATGCTTTAATTTTCAATTAACATTTCTAAATAAATTGTTATCAATGATAAGCTTAATGCAAATTCATACATACACATACTTTATGATTTTGACACGTACATGAGACAATATGTACATGGAAACATATGCATTCCATGTTATATAACAATGTAGTATAATTCATATTGATCAATATATCATAACACGTAACAAACTGAGTATAGCTTCATCTCGACCATTTGAAATGTTGCGTGTGTAATGTGATCATAATGCGTGTATCGATAATGTGTCATAAGATGTAACAACAAGAACGAAACTTACGATTTCAGACACCTAATCACCACCATATTCTATCAATTCTTTATCAAATTCTTGCTGGAGTTGGGAAGTTAACAAAAGCATATCCAAAATTCTTCTTGTCGGATAGAATATTCAAATCAAAATATTTGTTTGAATTTTATTCAAAACTTCTTTCACTATTAAATTTAATTACCTAAACTCCAAAGGTAAGTATAACGAATCATACTCCAAAGAGTGTTCTAGGGAGCACCAATAAAGAAAATCCATCAAATCATTTCTCCTTGTAATTTTTACACTGAGTATTTATAGACGTAATTTACTATGCCCTCGTTTGAGACTCATTTTGAGAGAAAAAAATGCATTTTTGAATAGTGATTTTTGGATAATATGCGATTAAAAATCAAGAAAAAAAATTTCAATTTACGTTTAATAATATTGTATGGTTGAAAATGAGTTTTGAAATAATGAATTTTCGAATAAATTAGGCTCAAACAACCCCATATGTAATAATTGATTATGGAAGATGGTGAATACATATTAAAAAAGAGTCATGCTTAGTGTACATAATTTTTTAAGGAGTGCAGAAAAATGGTGATAGAAATTTCCTATGCTATGCCTATTCAGTCTCTATTACAAGCAACCTCGAAGAAAGACTGGAACTGGTAACCCTTGTTACACTGTCACACGTCAGAGTTACCGAAATTTTTTAAAAAAAAAACCTTAAAAGAATCATTAGAACATAACAAGAGAGTGTAAAAATATTTACAAGAAAAAAATCTATTTGCATAATGCAATCAAGAAGATAAAGAATAAGAGCACCTCATTTGAATCGATATCACATAATTTGAAAGGCAACCATTAGTGTTTGATTGCGAATACGAAATTTGTATGAAAATAAAATAAATTCTAGACAATTCAATTGTCTAAAACTTATTTATATGTAATTAAATGTGTCTGATTGATTTAGTTTCAAACCTAGATTCGTGGAAAAAATTGACAACCAAACAGCAAAAAGTAAGAAATTAGGTAAAAAAAAAAAAAACATATTTTTTATGAAAATTATAAACAATCAAAACGCACCTTTAGAGATTTTTCATCTTGGTCTATTGTGCACATAGGGAATGTTTGGTGGATTAAAATTAGCTACCATATTTAATACCATTAGGAGTTGGCTTATTTTTCACATTTATTTTTACTTTAATATTACAGTAATAATGGGATAAAAGAAGTTAAAATGTAATTTGGGTGACACATGTAAAAAATTTGGGTATAATTTGCAAAAATTAAAATTAAAATGTTTGGGAGTTCAATTGCACTTAATCCTTTTTAATTTTGGCACTTTTTACCCTTTTTAACGATTAAACCAACGAAGTTGGACGGAATGGGGTTTTCCATACATAAAAGGTTGTATTCTGTACAAAAGGTTTTAAACATGGATATTTTCTGTTATTTCCAATAGGCAGAGGTATTCCGCATATCGTCAAGTATGTAGGGGGTTCTCTACTGTTAAGCCAAAAGTCAATCATATTATAAGCTTCAATTTGTCTCACATTCTTCCATAACTTTTTTTTTTCTATATACTCATTTTCAACCATGTATTTACAAAATAAAATATTTTACACTTAAGTCCAAAAAAATTATCTACTTTTAACTACACATTTTCCAAAACTTCATTATTCAAAACAATGTTTTTTCATAAAAATGGCCACCAAACAGGGGCTAAGAATAACTTCAGGATACTATTTCATTTTCATTGCCCAATATCCAATTTGATCTCAAGGTAAAGAATAATCAATTATGTCAAAAGAATAACCACACTCCTAACCCAAGTCAATTCACAAGGTTTTTAAAATCCATCAATAAAATACACACAAAAATTATGTAGGATCATTTTTCAGACCATCATACTTGAGGATCATCGGTGAATTGCCGTATATGTAAAAATGTCTTCATTTCCACATATCCAGACAACTTCAAAATTTTATGTTAATCTAAAACAAATATTAAAAATGGTAATTATATTCACACTATAATTTTTATTTCTTGCATCACATTTTAATTACATTTAGGTTCTCAATCCTTAGTCATTATATCATTTATGTCCCTAACAGTTTTTTATGGCATTCTTATCCTCAAACTTTTCATTAATTAACATATTTTTTATTTGTTAACGGTTTATATCTAAAAGATTCGTTAAAATAGCATATAATAACTTATTTTTCATCATATTTTAAAACAACTAATCAACATTGAATGTGCTTTGCACGTTATTATGAAGTGCTTTATACGTATTGTAAAAGTAATATTTAAATATGCTTAAATGTTAATTAAATTAGAATTAATATCAGAGAATATATACGTAACAATGAATATTAAATCATTTATTTAATTTTCTATTAAGTAAAAATGGATATTAATTAGTATACATGACGTGAATAATGAAATAATTCTAATTAATTTATAATTAAAATTAATAACACTGAAATACATAAATGAAAATTAGCATTAATTAAATAAATGTGAATATTAATTAATTGATAATTCACACATTAATGAAATCATACATGTGAAATGGATTTGTCAAATAAAAAAAAATATTTAATATATTATAGTAAAGTTATAATAGTCCAAAAAATGATTCTCGATGTGATATTTAATATATTATATATAAATAAAAAAAGTATGCAAAATATTCTCTCTCATTTCGAAGTATGAAAACAAAATATTTTGACATAAATCATCGTAAAGGACGAGATGTACTAATTAATGGAAAGTTGAAGATAAGAATTCAACAAAAAAATTCAAGAAATAACTGTGACGAGTAAAAATTGAGGAAGTAAACTGCAATTAAAATGTGGTATAACAAATGAAAATTGCAGTCCCAATATAACCCTCCTACTTAAAATATACATTCCATGGACAAACCAGACTTTGTAAAAGTCATAAATTAGTAACGACTTTAATTACACCCACCCACTCACTCACTCACTCACTCACCTAAAACAAACATTAATTTTTCTATAAATGTTTAGTACGAGATATATATAAATTGGACAAAAGTAAGAAACATGGACGATCACAAAGGAAATGAAATTCTCACAATTGATCAATCCATCGTAGACTGGCTGACATGTGATGATACCGAGAACACAAAAGAGAGTGTGTCTGGACCTTTCGTTGTAAAGTTAATCTAGAAAGAACAGTCGAGTCAGTTTCCAGGAACCTGAGAAAGAACTAGATTTCCTCCAACAGTGCCAAAAAGAACTTGTGTACTCAAGGAGTTCGAAATGCTTCAACTGATGTATACTCTGTTCTTCGCAATTTGTTCAACCTGAGTTGGACTCAAATGCCTTATCCCATTCTCTTTTAACCATCTTTCATCTCCCACCAAATTATTCTTTAGCTGTGTTTTCGCCAGTCTCAACAACTTTAATCCCTCGCTAACTTTCGGGAAGAAACCTTCTGGTCTCAGACACCAAGCTCCAAAAGCCCCAAAGAGAACTGCCAAATCATTCCCAAGTCTCTCAACTCCCCCATCGTAAAACTTCGCGTTGCTCATCAAAATACCATTAAAAATCATTCTATCTATCCCCGTCGCCAAACTTCTCCAGACCCCAGTAAAATCATTTTTATTTAAACCTTCTTCTAGTACTGACATTTTCCCCTGCAAATAATCTAGTGCCCCAATAAAAGATCTGGACACTGTCCACCCTTCTTCCCTCTTCTCCTGCCATTGCTTTTTGTTCTTCATGTAATCTCGGAGACGTGCATCAAATCCCCTCAAAACAACAGTTGATAACTTCTCAACCCATTCTGTTCTAAATTGCTCAAGCTTTCTGATTTCTTCATCGAAAATACTGTTTCCAGGTGCTTCCACAGACCTTCTGCTTATACTAATATTTTCATCGGGTGTTTCCAATTGATCAGCTTGGCTCAGTCCCATCTCCAGAAAGAAGACATCCTCACACCATTCTACAAGAACAGACTCAAAGAAGCGAGCAGCATTAACAGACTTCGCAACTTTAGTTAGAGCAGTGTCATCTGCTAGAGCTGTCAGTCCCTCGGCTTCTTGGCACCTCAGCAGTAAACAATCCAACAACTTCCATATCATAGGTGCACCTGTCAACCTTATAAACCTTGAACTCAATGAGATGCTGGGAATTGATCGACAACGGTCAACTACCAATGATAGATACCGAAGGAAAGCACCGGAAATCAAAGGAGATTTATGATCTTCCTGTGCAGATAGAATAGAAGCTACCTGACCTTCATTTGACCAATTAATGTCATTTGCCATTTCAAGTTTTAATTTATCTAGCACATCAGTAAGCTCTATTTCAGCCCATAAATCAAGCCAGTCGGGTCTATCACAAAATACTGATAATGAAGATATTTTCAATAGATTTCCATCTTCATCGAGGAAAAGTGACAGTCCTGAATATACTACCAGAGATTGAATTCGCTTATCAAATGCAATCATCAAATCAATGAGATGTAGCCAAGCTAATCTAGCCTGTGATTCAGTCCCAGTAACGCTCTCGTCATTAAGCTGACTCACATGTGTGGGGAATATCTCTTTTGCAAGATAAGTTGATAGGGAAGATACAATTGCTGAGATCCATTCTTCTCTGCAACTGTAGCCAGATAGCATTGCTTTGTCAAGAAGTGGCTGCAATAACTCATCCATAGAGTCAACATAATCTCGAGTAATCTTATATACAAGGGCAAATATGAACTCTGGCTTATCAATCCACTTTGAGAAGTGGCGCTGAGCTTCAATGAATAAAGGATTCACAAGCTCTTCAATAGCCCAAAGTGGTTGATGCAGAGCAACTTCGCTATAACGCCCCACAAGTTGACGAATTTTTCTTTGTCTTTGCAATTCTTGTAGACCGCACAATGTGAGGAAACTTTCACAGTATTGGTGCTTGAGGTCTCCTTGCATAGTGAAAAGAGGATTTTGGACATCATTTGATCGCTTTTCATCTTGATTTGATGAACTCAAAGTCGATAAAAGCGGTGGCCATCCAAGAGAAGCAAGAAGGGCCCGATGATCTGCAATAGCTTGAGGTCTTAAAATGGCTAAAGCTCTATCGACTCGGTGATCAACAGCTGAAACAAGTCGTTCCCACTGAGGATGCGTCTTTGTTACTGAAATAAGAACATCTTCTGTCAATTTAAGAGTTCTTATAGCCTTTTCCCGTGTATCCTGTAATGAGTAAAGTAATCCAAAAGGAACAATACGAGAATTTAGTGAATAAATACTTTCAAATTTAGGAAAAGAGTTTGACGTATTTAAGCCCCTGTTTAGTAGGGATTAAAATCGAATTTTAGTAGATTTTGATAAAAGTCAACGAAAAATATGGTTGGAAAGTTGTGTATCCCATAAAATATATTGTTAAAATTAATTGTTGACTTTGACTTAGATTAAAATCTAGATTTTAATCTCTAAGAAACAGAGGCTAAGTGTTATTTTATGAGATTGATAAAGATGCGATAAATTTTTAACTAATCATGTATGATTAATAAGGTCCTAAAACTATTTTCTTGGTTCCCATGATTGAGTTTCTATTTAGATGTACCAATTGTTAAGGGATAAAATTCCATATCGAATAAAGATAAAAACATAAATCAATTTATAAGAGTTTAGACTACTCCTTTTAATAAGGTTGACTTTTTAAGATGGAACTCTAAATCTTAACATCGTATCAGAGCCCGTTAAACTCCAACGAGTAATTCGATCCCTCAAAAAATTTGAGCAAACGAATTTCAAGATCGATCTACTCAAACGAGCCAACATCTTGCTGGAGCATGTTAAGGGATAAAATCTCACGTCAAATAAAGATGAAAACATATACCAATTTATAAGAGTTTAGGTCACTCCTCTTAATAAAGTTAACCTTTGAAGATGAAACTCAAATTTTAACACCAATTCGACAAATAAAATCCTAAAAATTGATCGCCACCAGGAAAAGTTAGCATCTTACTAAAACATTTGTAAAAGTAATGGGACTTTTAGAGAAGTTAAAATGGATTTCATATTTATACCAATTTAATTATCTTTCATAATTCAATTAGCCTAAGGAATCTAAACAAACATAACCTTTAAATTGTACTCACTTCTGAATTATTTTTCAATGCATGCCTCCTCAGGGTGGAAGATACAGCATCCTCAATGTCACCAACTAAAGTGTCAAGCTTTAATGCCGTCTCTGAAAATTATGAAGAGGCTGATGATGAGAATGATTAGAACAACAGAAACAAAATGAACAAGAATGTAAGTATCTGTTTTCCAGTTATTTCTTGTTTGTTTTTTCATCCTATAACTTACAACAATCATCAAAATGAAACTATAAAGAAGTGGGAAAAGTTAAAATAGCACTTCATCCATTATAATAGGAGGTCATCCACAATCTGAAGACTAGATGACAATGTAGACTGAAAATATCACAAATTGTGTCTTTCATGTTGCTGTATAAGTTACACTTAGTGTCAACAGAACTTCTAATTTTTTTGTCAAAGAAGGCTGAAAACATGTCCATGGATGCACCTCAAGTTACATTAGAAATACATAAAAATGCGTATTCATTGTTGTAAGTGTTGACGAACTAGCATTACAAACATAGCTTAACACATACTCTTGTCATACAGACTCTTGATTGCCTCATGATGAGGCTAAAAAATACGCTAAAAAATACGGTGCCATCCACAAAAAGACCATACATTGACTGGTCGAATAACTTCCTAAACATAAAAATATGCTCATAATTCTTCAAAAATCCCCATTGAAATGACAAAATTAATTCAACTAGCATACTTAGACACAACAAAACCACTTTCTCAAATTGAAGTTTCAATTCTTACAAGCACCACTAAAATTATTTCTCCATGTTTCCAAAAGATATAATCTATTTATTTTCAAAACTCTTCACTTTGACACAATTGAAATTAGCCAAAATCAAATCAAGAAAACATTAAAAATTTTAAAAACTCACCAGCATATTTTCGCACAGTTTCCACCCTCGCCACCTCTTTCGCCAAAGCCTGTAATTCGTCCCCCATTCCCCTCCTCGACACCCCATCTATAAACAAAGTAATATATGCTAATTAATAAATAAGCCCATAATCAATACAAGCCACAATCAAAATTAAAGTGCAAAACAAATGTGAATGCGTATATTCGCACCAGATGGAGAGTGAGAGGTAGACTGCAGGAGGCCATGCAACTGGGCATGGATATTGGAGAAAAGGGATCCCACCCGACCCGATTGGGAGGTGTGTCGGGTCAGGTGTGATTGGATCTGGGCGTTGAGATCGGAGAGGGATTGGTCGAGATCATCGCACTCGGTCCGTAGCTCCGAGAGTAGAGTCGGGGCTACATCTAAGTCTTGTTCGGAGCTGAGTTTGGAGTTGAGAAAAAATATGGTGTTGGCAGAGAGGGATGAATACGGAGGTAAGGAACGCGCCATCGGGTTATCGATAACCTTCTTCTTCTGCCGAATCGCCGATGGAAGGCGTCGAGTACTCGGGCCGAGAGACTCAGTGCCTGCTGGGGGAGTTTTTTTCCAACCGGTTTTTGCCCGGTTTTAGGTGACAGTAACGGACAGGTTGGAAAAATGATGCTAATTTTTTTATCTATCGATCTTTTATGTTAAAAATCACCCATCCGTGTAATTTTTACTGATTTTTTCAATGCACCAAATCGACGGATTTTGACTGTTTCTTATATTCTCTTTTAGTTTTATTCTTTATAAAATAATTATTTTTAAAAAATCACTTTTATATATAAAAAAATTTGTTTATAAAATAAAAATACTATTAATATGATAAAAATTCACTTATAAATTAAAAAAAGTTACTTATAAATTAAAAAAAATTATATTAAAAGTATAAAAATTAACTTATAATTGTGAAATTTACGTGTAAGTAAAAATATTAACTTGAAATTTTAAATAAATATTTAACTTTAGTTAGAGCCTCTTCGAGATCTTTTTTTGTCCAAAATGCATTTTTGAATAATATTTGATGAATCATGTGTTGTTAAAAATAAGAAAAAAATTGAGTTTGCGTGCAATATTTTTTTATTGAAAAATGTGTGATTGGAAATAAGAGAAGAAAAAATGTATTTTGAAAATAATGAGAATAAGTGTTTAATTTTTTAAGTTAAACATTAACTTATATGTAAAAAAAAAAAAAAATTGCCTATAAGTAAAATATCACTTATGAGAAAAAAAAATCATATAATTTTTTTATTAAGGGATATATATGTAATTTTATTCTTTTATAAAACTTTCAGAATCAATAGATAATAAACTTTTAAGTATATGTTGGGTAGTTTTAAAAATAATATTAAAATCACTCAAAATCGATTCACTCATAAACGTTTAAAACTGGTATTTTAAAAAATGTTCATAATCGGTACGATAAATTTCCTAAGCAGGCTCTCAAAGTCAGAGACGAGAGTGAGGCATTGAGGGAGAATTCAATTCGCAGATGGTTTCGGGTTTGGATTTGGGAATGGGTGAGAGTTGAGAGATCGTATTGGATTTTGATTTGGGTTCTATTTTATTGTGGGGTTTAAGTAGTTTGGAGAGTGATCCATTGAAGTGTTTGAGCTTCTAATAATTTTGCCCAAAAATTTATGGGAACAATTTACATATTCCTCTATATCACTAATTTATAAATAATTAAATTTTATTTTCAATCACACATAATAATAAATTTATAATTATTATCTATTTTTCGTAACTTATTTATATTTATTTATAAATTAAAACTTTACTAATTTCAAAAATGTGTTCTATAATGTCGCTTTATTTTCATTGCCACCACCATTTTGTAGTATTTAGTATTACAATTATGTTATCTGTACATTATTTTTTAAAAAATATGCCACGTGGCAATACATTATTGAACATATTTATTTTATTTTATTTTTACGAAAAATACACTTTCTCGCCCATAACTTTTTGAACTTCAATTAACTATGCACAATGATGTCAACCAAACAATGTACACTTAACATTATTCTTACTGTTAGACCAACATTGCTATTGCAACCACTTGTATTTTCACCTCCTGTGACATAACCATGTTAATTGTTCCACCAACCACCACAAAGACCACCATCACAATTTGCATCATTACGCCATTATTAGAGCATCATCACCATCGTCTGCTCTACCTTAAACATTATAACAACCCCTCACACACAATAACTATGATGAAACTTGGACGTCCTCCAATAAGACAAAAACCTAATCACAAAAACATAAAACAAAACAAAAAGTTAAAACATAAATTGAATCTATAGCAATCAAAGGTTTTAGAGCTTCGAGGGTAGAGCAATCGATGGTGGTGGTGCGTGGTGATAGGAGAAGGTCGTGGTTATTAGCAACGTGTAGGAGGTGGCTAGGGGTCGGTGGGGTACTTTTAAAATTTGTTTAGTCAAATCTCCAAATTTTCACTTTGAATTTTCGACAATTGTATATTTCCACAATGACATTTTGGATGTTAAAAGACAAGATGCCCTTAAATATGTTATACAATTACAAAATATTGTTTTGTTTTAAAGTCAATACTACCATTTTAATTAACAAATAAAAATCAAACACTTCCCACTTTAAATATCAAAATCAGCTAACTTTTCTTATTTATTTATTCCAACACAAATAAAAACTCTCTCATTTTTCATCTACTTCAATCTCAAAATCTCATAAATTTATCAAACGCTGAACAAGAAAATATTTTTTTATATCTATTACTTCAAATCGGTAAATATATTTACGTATATTTAATTTCATTTTCGTTACATTAGTGTATTTTTTAATCTATAAATCTTATTTCAACATAAATTAGCATGTAGATAAATTTCAACAGGCCCGACTTTCTTTTTTGAATTAAAAATTCCGTGGCCCAGTGGTTTGGTCGACATTTCAACTATTTTTCCTTATAATTAAAATTTTTGTTTCGTCATGCAGATATGGTTGTAATACCGATTTGTTATTTTGGTGATTTCGAATTGAATGAAAAAGATCAATGAGTATAAAAATGGACAAGTGATATACGTGGTGTATTTCAATTTCTATAACATCGAGTACATTATATGTGAAAATGTACCAGGATTTACAAAACAAGCTGAAATCCATTCCCTCTCAATAGATTCGGATGAAGAGGATCGCAATGCCAATGATTTTTAGGACACGGTGGAGATAGCTCGTAAGGATGATATGATTATTCCCAATAAAGTTGTTCCTCATCGTGATCTTTTTGTTACGCACAGACAGGAGCACGGCTCGACTCGACCCGACTCGGCCCAATTGCTCATGTGCTCTACGATCCAAGCTCGTGGCTCGTTACTCGAGGGCCAAGCTCGGCTCGTGGGTTGAGCTAAGCTTCGGTTCGTGAGCTCATCTTTCTTTTTTTAAGATAAAATCCTCCACCTTTATCCGAACTTGAGACCGATTACTTAAATTTCTAGTATGCAGAGTTAAAAATCGTACACGAACAACTTATTACGTATAATTTTTTTAAAAAAAATTAAAAACAATATTCTTATGAAATAACAAATTTTATTAATATGGTTAAATTAAATATCATTTACCCGACGATGTGCAATTTTGACTTATTTATCTTACAGTCTAAAATAAGTGTCTTGCCAATCATTCACGCACATTAATGCTTTCAAAATATATTTTTTTCAGTTAGCTCATAACCTCGGACATACCCCTCTTACTTGCAATAAAAGAAAACTCTGAAACTAAAGTGTTAACCGGAGGTGTTACTAGCCATCGCAGAAACCACTAGCCATCGTCGTTCGTATTTTCGCCAGAATTTAATTACTTTTTCTGAACTTTTTTTAATCATTTTATTATTGGGCATATTATGATTAAAGTAATCATGTAATTCAGCAAGTAATGCATTCGGACTTGCGTTCTATCTCATTATATGCGGTAGATATACTACTAGAAAAACCTACTGTATTTGGTTCATAATCATTTTGTAGGAGAGATGGACAGGCGGTTCAAGGCGTAGCATCATATCTATACGTATTAATACCTTCAAATAAGTTTAATATTTCAGTGTCATCTTCTTCAAAATCAACTGGAGGAGTAGGTGTAGAGGGTACCAGACTAATAATTGCACTCCTTCGTTCTACATATAATTCACACGTTTCATATAAAATTTATTCTAAATTTCGATAAGTAATTGGTGTATTAAAAGTTAAAACTTTTGAAATCTAATAAAATATTTGTCGAGTCATAAAAACTTGTTAATTTTTTTTTTAATTTTAAAAGCTAAAAACCAATTAGATTTATTCAAAATAGTGTCATCATCGTTTCTAATATGCTATAGTTATAAAATTCAGTTATGAAATGTTCAAATAATTCGTATGATTTTAATAATAAATGGAGTTTCATCTGTACCCTACGTCACTAACAAATATTTTCGTATTCGTCACCCCAAATTCGGCACAAAATTCTTCAAATGCTTGTCTTCTATTTGATGAAATCATAATATATATATTAATGTATCCCTAATTCTTTGAATTTCATTCTTAATATGCACAATTAAATTAAAAATATGACACATACAACAAATACGAAATAAATAATCACTGAAATCGGGTTGCAATGCCCTACACAATTTATCGATAACTGGCTTATTAACACTAGCGTGGTCTAATGTAAAAGAACGAATTTTACTCACAATGATATTCTCTAATAATACTCGTAATATAGTTATATATATTGTTAGCATTGTGAGACAACTCAATAATTTTAAAGTAATAATTATTTTATGCGTACATCAAAGTGAGTTTATGTATTGTACAGTTGTAGCTATATAATCTCTTTTATTAATCACTTCTTATATAATCGAAGTTAAATATATAACACCCCCATATTTTTGCAAATTGATAATCAATTATTTATTTGTATTAAGGAAATATTTTATTATTTTGGAATGAAGAGTGTTTCTGCTTACCCCAGCGTACCTCGGTTGAAGATATTCTTTCATGTAGGAGACGAAATGTCGGTTGTCCGCTATTGTTAGATGCAACTCATCACCGACAACAAATTTCACATGAGCTTTCTTGAATACATCCACGTGCAAAGTGTTGTAGAAGCATAACCGACAATTGAACTACCAAATTGCAGTTGTATTTGACCGGCAGCAAGAAACTCATGTTTAGTTGTGCATACTTTGTAGTAACTGTTGAGGTTGGTGGTACAAATACCATTTTTCCATGCCAATCGTTGTTGACAATATTTGCATATTGCTTTAGATTCCGACTCTGTCGATCACACGATCCGTTGGAATCAATTTAAAGTGATCCAAACATTTTGCCTTTTTTGCCATTTTGCTTCCATTTTGCATCGAAAATATCTATTTCCTACTTCTATTCCGCTTTGAGAACATTAATGTCATCTAAATCAATTGAATTACTACTTCCGTAAGCATGCAAATT